CAAGGGCAGAATAGGAAAAGGAGAAAACCATGAGGCTGTGTAAACACTGTTCATCAACAGCCCAAACACTGGTGTGTTTTAGTAACAAATCCAAAACTCATATGGGATCTGATGAAGAAAGTTACCTCCATCCCAGTCAAACCCAGTACAGTGTTCTGAAATAACTAAATGTTCTCAGTGTTGCCAAAACTTCATTAGTCATTGACATTTATCTTCTCACATGTTATTAGGTTAACAGATACTGAGATAAAAATATTTCTCATTATCATAGAATCATGGAATTGGTTGGGTTGGAAGGGACCATAAAACAACAGAGTGGTTTGGAAGGAACCTTAAAGGTCATCTAGGTGCAATCCCCCCACACAAGCAGGAAGGCCATGCACTGTATCAAATTGCTCAGGACCCCATCCAGCCTGGCCCTGAACATTTCCAGAGATGGGACACCCATAACTACCCTGGGCAACCTCTTCCAGTGCCTCACTACCCTCTGAGTGTAGAATTTCTTCCTAATATCTAATCTAAATCATTCTTCTTTATGTGAAAACTGTTCTCACTATCTGCCCATACAAAAAGATGCTCTCCTTCTATTTTATAAGTTCCCTGTAAGTCCTTTCTTGTGCTTAATACTCCAGAGTAGGACACGGTACTCCAGGTGGGGCCTTACAAGGTCAGAGTAGAGACAGAGAATGAAGATGAAGGCAGAAAGGGAAGGATTATCTTAGTTGCTCAAAAAAGCCTCATAATCTTCTAGAGAAATAGTTTGCACTGCATTCATGAAAGGACACAAGCTAGGATATTTTTCCTCTTTAAAATTCCTTTAGAATTTTCCACAGGTCTCTCTCTTATCCTTGTCTTTTCTGTAGAACAGGTATTTTTGAGAAAGCCTTCAAATGCTCAGGGGTGGAAATGTATATAAATGACAGAAATCACAGATCATCTTTCAAAATCTTTTGAAATACTGGCAACCAGGACAGAGTAGACCAAGGTTACCAGGAACACCTACAGAGTTTAGCAGCTTGCAGTTAAGAGTAATGATGAAACAGGGATTTTCTTCTCCAAAAATAATGCTTCTATCACTTCAGTCAAGGGCAGCTTTATGATAAAACTTCAAACTGCTTCTATGTAGCACAGAGTCTCAGACTTAAAATGCTCCTGGTCCTCTTATTCTGAGATYCCACCCTTGAATTTCCATCTGAAGYTTTCARACCAGAGAAGGCATGAAAARGTACTGCTCAGGTGTGTCTGAATTCACTGCCAAGCTGCTCTCTTCATTTCACCTACAGCAGAAGTGAGCCCTAATTCCTTCCATGGATCTGGAGCATAAATTCTGTAGTACTTTTATGAGAAGYRAKRTTTTTTGAGCAGAAATACATATGGGCATGGTAGCCCTAACAATCTCTAGTGCTTTACTAAATGAAATTGGTTTGGAAAAAAAAGTGGATGTTTCTTCAAGTTTGTACAAACTCTATAACAAAAGGCAGCTGAGAATAAGAGAAAGACACTAGCAATGCTCTCCTGAACAGCCAAGAGAGAAGTCATGTTTTGTCAGAACTTGGTTCTCGCCCTTGGCAGAAGAATACATGAGAAATCAGTTTTGTTGCTCTGAAATTATTTATTTCACTGATCACTATAAATAAAAAAATTCACAAAAATTGAATCCATAGCCAAGCACTGAATCATAAGGACTGAAAGTTGAAATAGCACTCAATTAAGAAAAAAAAAAAAAGATTAATATTAGTACTAGTAGTGGGAGCATTAATAAATACTTAGATCACTGCAGAGGTCTTTCTGTCAGTAGACTCAGTAAAAGACAGATTTCTAATTTTATTGTGTACTTTATTATAATTCTGGTAAAAATTGCACAGTGCCACTGGTAGATACATTTTAGATTAGCATGTTTTTTTTCTGATAAAATTTGTATTGGGGTAAGTTAAAGTGAAATCTCAATTACCTGTAAAGTGCTGAAAGTGGCCGCTTGTTGCCAGGTTTTGGTCTGTATGGTTTTGGCTCTCCTGCCATGTTGATATCTGAAAGCAAACATTTTATATCAATAAGTCAAACATCCACGAGTTTGTAAAGGCACCTTCAAGTCACTGAAAATGAGTAATAAGCAGTGAAAATGGAGAGCATACCTAAAACACCTGACTAGTTTTTACCTCTTCTGTATTGATGCTGTGAAATTTTCCAAAAAGTTCTTACTTTTATGCATGAAGATTTTAGACAAAATATCAGTTGTTTACAGAGAGAAATTAAATTTTTTAGACACACAAATTTCTACTAAGTGAAGCCAACAGCATATTTCCATTACAGAAGAATCTTCAGGAGGTAAATTAGATGGTGAAACAAACAATGGTCTCAAGTCAAATTCTGCTGTGAAGGAACTCTTCTGAAGAGTTTGTTTTAGGATCTGAAGAAATACACACTGATCTTTAACTGCTACTTTACCATCCACTCAGAAATTAACTCCTCAAAAATAAATAAGAGTGTCTATTTCCTACCTCAAATACATCTCTCCTTGGAGAAAGAGAAAATGTGTTTTTGCAAGTGCTTTCTCTTAGGAAGATACTTATTATTCTCAACAAGATCAGAAATCTTATGAGAAATTCAAAAGTTCACTTATATCCTACCTGCAAATTTAGCCTTGAAATATATATAAAAAGTCAAGAATCTATAGACATTAGCAATGTTTGCTCTCAAATTTCTCTCTTCATTTGAACTACACTCAAAGACATACCAGTAGATAGATGTCCCTTGTTATGTTTGCTAGAACAGTCACACATAGAAAAAGAAGCACAGACCCTTTTGTGGAGAATACTTTCTTGAGCTTAGGAATCTCTCTGCTTAAACACAAATCTATATTAAAGATCTTCTCCACTGTGACTGAATGCTGCAAAGTCGACATTACAACAAATCACATGGCTGGAATGAAACTTCTGGTTAGGAAACAAATTTCATGCAATCTGAGGGATGCTGCAGCTAAATCCCTTCTCAGCTTCAATAATATAAAGAAAAGAGTATAAGACAACAAAATCATTGGAATTATTTCAGTGTAAAATTGCTGTGATAGAACATCATAACCCATTAAATATGGAGCCACGTGGTGGTCGAGACTTTCAAGAAAGCACATGTTCTTGGTAAAGTCTATGTTCAGACCTGAAATTGAGTGTAAAGAGGGAAAAGAGAAGCAGAAAGATGAGGTGTAGGAGTAGGAAGAAACACTAATGCAGTGATGCTAAAAGCTCAATCATTTTTATTTATTATTTTTGACCTCAAAAAATTTAGTAAAAGCCTTAGGCTTATTGACTGGATATTTTTAGTTCACATAAAGCGAATAAAAACTCCAAATCTGACCATTTTTAACAATCAGAAGCATTGAAATTATATGTCCCTTAGAATTTTTTTTGACAGAAAATATTTTTCCAATGGAAATTTCATACTTCAAATATTTAAAGGAATTTAAAAGAATTTTTTTGCTTATTTTTGATATTTTGGGCTTGGCAAGCATTTATTTAAAATTATACAAGGACGTGTAATGAAAAGATTTTATGTAGAACTGTATAATATAAAATACTATAGTGACCTTTTCTTTATATAAAACACTATGGGATTAAATCTGACTACAGCTTCTTTTGTAGGAGCTGTATTACTACTAAATCATAATTTTTCATAAAACATTAATTTTCTTGTTTCACCTAGTTTTCTGAAATTGAATGAATATTGGAGACAGTTTTCATACCTCCTTGAAATGCTTTCCTGCCCCTAATTTTAAGCAATTCTTTATTGAATAGACATTATTTTTTCCTTCCATTTTTATTATAAATTCAGGTATGATGTCCTTATTTCAAGATACATAAATTCTATGATGTTGAATCAACAAAATAAACACCAAGAATTTCTGGAAGTCACTGAGGAATTTTGTAGCTCTGTTGCATTTCCATTGGCTCTTGGAAATAACAGAATTGGAACAAAATTTTTACCCTGTGATCTTGGCCATAATTAGACTTTCTCACACTGTTTTAAATGTCAGTTTAAGATCATTGACTGTACTGACTTTCAGCATCTCCTACTACAAGTAGAACAGATTTTATTAAAAAAAAAAAAAAAAAAAAAAAAAAAAGTGGGATTATAATCTGCTCTTGGGAAATACCTGAGGCTGTGGTGTTGTTGTCACAATACCATAATCTTCACAAACTTTTCATCTCTCATCTGCTATTGTTTCAAAGCTACACCTTAGACCTTCTTCATAAACCCTAAAATACATGTTTTATAAACCTTTTCATATCCTCCTGGGATAGATCAATACTATCCTGATGACTCTTCTTGTAGACCTACATTTGCAGCTCTACAAGACCCAGTTTTTAAAAAGGTGAGTAGTGTAGAAGGCTGAGGGCTGTTTGCTGTGTGTTCTCTTTATTTCCATCAAAAGTGTCAGAAAGGTGACACTGTAAGAGGCACAAAGGCAAAGCTGTTCAGAATCATTAAGATTCTCTCACACTTAAATAAATCTCCAAACAGTGAACTACTTTACACAGACAGTAATAGCCAAAAATTCTCTTTAGCACAGGAAATAGTTCATAGAAAATCTGTGCACATGGGGCTTTTCTGTTAATATGAAAGTGATTGAATAGCTCTGCAACTCCCTAAGCACTTTGTAGCAAGTTAAGAATGAATGTAGGAAATGCTTTGAAAAGTTAGAACAGATTTTCACTCCATTATTTTTCAGCACTATCTATTCCAGCCTCAATTTTCTAACTAAGATTAGAAGTGAACTTGTCAACATTTYGCAAGATAGATTATTTCTATCCCARCTGGAAATCTTGTGAGATAAGTTGCTCTCTTCCTTCATCCATCATCGGTTTCACGGCAGACATTTACATCTACTAGATCATAAACTGCGTGTCAAATAAATTTGCTGGYTGCAGCAGAGAGATTTACCTGTGCTAATGATTCCACCCCAAGGAATGCAGACATATCACTCCTTGGGCTGTTAAATTAGCTACAGCACTTGTACATGGATATGTACCAGACAACGTCATAAGGGACACAGGCATTCACATCGCTTCTGGAGAGGCATGGATTTGATGAATTGGTGGATAAAGAAATGGCTCATGGTCACATTGAAAAAGTCATATTAAATGGGTAGATTTTCTAGTGGAGACCACTGACGACTGGCGTTCCTCAGGGATCAGTATTGGGACTGGTGTGGTTCAACATCGTTCTTGGGACACAGACAGTGGCATTGAGCACACCCACAGCCCATGACACCAAGCTGTGTGGACACTGGAGGGAAGGGATGCCATCTACAGACACCTTAAAAGGCATGTGGAGTTTGAACATTATGAAGCTCAACAAGGCCAAGTGTAAGGTCCTGCACCTGGGTCCAGGCAATCCCAGGCACTGACACAGGCTGGAGAATGGATTGAGAGCAGGATTTGGGGGTGAAGATGAGAAGCTTGATGTGACCTTGCAGCCCAGAAAGCCAACCGTACCCTGGGCTGCACCAAAATCTGGGTGAGGGAGGGGACTCTGCCCCTCCACTCTGCTCTCAGCTGGAGTGCTGTGTCCAGCTCAGGGGGTCCCAGCATAAGAAGGACGCGGGTCTGTTTAAGCAAGTCCAGAGGAGGCCACCCAAACAATCAGAGGGCTGGAGCACTGTCCCCATGAAGACAGGCTGAGAAAGCTGGGGTTGTTTGGCCTGGAGAAGAGAAGGTTTCAGAAACACCTTACAACAGCCCTCTCCTACCTGCCTCAGGAAAATTGGAGGGACTTTTTAGAAGGGCTTGAAATGATGGGACAAGATATAATGGTGTCAAACTGAAAGAGGAGTGGTTTAGTTTAGTTATTAGGAAGAAATTCTTTGCTGTGAGGATGGTGAGGCAGTGGCACAAGTTGCCCAGAGAAGCTGTGGATGCCCCATCTCTGGAAGTGTCCAAAGCTATCTTGGATGGGGTTCTGAGCACGCTATTGTGGCAGGGAGGGTTGAACTGGATTATCTTTAAGGTCTCTTCCAACCAAACCATTCTATGATTCTATGGTTGTATGATTCTATGTGGGAATGGAGCAGCCCAGAGACTCACATTATCGTCCCTTCTTGTACCAGAAATGTTCACTTACATACCAACTTCAAGATAAATTCATCACTGAAATTCAAAACACCACAGACACATTATGAATATAAAAGTGATTATGCAGAAAACATCACACTGTAATGCAGAGTCCTCATCTGTGCTTTCAGAATCAAATTAAATTACTTTCTTTAAAAAAAATAAATAATTTTTTAATTCTATATGTATTATTATAGCAGGGTTCAGTTAAAGGATGAGATTTAGATTTCATTCAAGGTTTTGTGTCATCAGCAGAATATATTGAATTTTGAGCATGGTATTTTTTTTTTGGTGATTATACTGAAAAATGCCTAATGATTAATGACAAAACATAAAAATATTTTTATAAAGTAGCGTGAATACCATTATAGAGGGCAGTCATTGTATTCTGTGGCTACATAAAATTGCCTGAAAGAACAACTCCACACAGCATGATCTACCTTTCTCCTATCACTGCTTCCTACTGTCTACCTCCTCCAAATGTGAACATCCCATTTTTGGAGAGGCAGTATCAGCCTGGTACTTTGCTCACAGATTTCCTGGCAAAATAAGCCAAGAATCTGGTCCTGAAGACAACAGGTGACTTTAAACAGCCTTTGTCAGTGCAAACAATGATACCTAAAGATCATAGTCTAGAAGCATTTCAGTATTTCTTAGAATACCGGCCCTTTAAATTCTTTGAAAAGTGTTATTTAAAAGAAAAAAAAAACAAAAAACAAACAAACCACCAAATCATTTTGGTTCACAAAAAATGCCATGAACAAGAAGCTTCAACAGGCATTCAACTCATAAAAACTGGATTTTGAGGTTTTCTGCTGCCAATCCAGAGCCGGTGTCGTAGGCTACATCTAACCTATAAAATTAAACTGAACCCTTTCAAGGCACTGTTTCTCATTTACTTGTTATATTAGATTGCTAAATTG